TAACATTCATATACAGATGAATTTGAAATACTCTTTTTTGGCCAATTATAACAAAGAATGAAAATTTGAAATAAATATTTTTTTGGGGGGGGGGCTATTATTTCCCTGATTTCAAGAAGATATAGCAAAGTTCAAGTGTCACTTTTTGACATTTTAATTTCAAAAACTAACAATACGTATTTTGTATAAGCAAACGCTAAAGGTTTTCGTTTTAAAAGTGTTTTCTTTTTTTATCTTAGAAAGCTAAAGAAATGCTCATAACTATATAATTTAAATGACGAAAAAATTAATACAGAACAATAGATTGTACCTGCATTTCCTTTCGTTTGTCTTTGAAACAAAGCGTGACAACATTCACATGTGTGGCTTTTTCCATGTCCACGCTTCTGGCTTCAATGGCCTGTGCCAAATACTTGTTGACTCGATTGGTTGGTTGATGATAATCAGCAGAGTGTCTGAAGAAAGGAGGTTTTGCGGTATTAATTTTTTGAATATTTTATCTGATGTTTGTTTGTTATAAGATCACTTTCTTTGTTTTGCATGTTCGAAAAGAGCACATTGTTTGTTTGTTTGAATTTTGCGCAAAGCTACACGAGGGCTATCTGCGCTAGCCGTTCCTAATTTAGCAGTGAAAGACTAGAGGGGAGGCAGCTAGTCATCACCACCCACCGCCAACTTTTGGGCTACTCTATTACTAACGAATAGTGGGATTGACCGTCACAATTATAACGCCTCCGCGGCTGAAAGGGTGAGTATGTTTGGTGGGACGGGGATTCGAACCCGTGACCCTCAGGTTGCGAGTCAAGCTCCCTAGCCACCTGGCCATGCCGGACCGTTGAAAGAGACAAACATAATACTAGGAATCAGCCTAAGCTCTTAAGGGTCCTTAAAAATTTTCATGCGCATTCAAAATGTACGTTGCAGGGTGAGGGGGGGGGGAGAATTCGTTCACGCTTTTCCAAAAATGTCAAACGAACGTAATTTGCTATCAATAAATAAAATATTGACCAGCAGCAACCTTGGAAATTCTTAAGGATTTAAACACCTTTCTTCTGTTTCCAGTACCCTACTTATAGTGACTAATGTATGACATCTCTTTAAAAACTTCGTCATTTTATATATACGCTTTCATAGGGGTGTGTGGAAAAATTACGAAAAAGCTAACGAACCCCCAGTTATCATGAGCAATCGCAGTATCTAAATATCGCGTTTCGCATTGTTTCTATAAAATAAATAAATAAGATTCATTTTTGTAACGTCATATCTAGTTCAAATTTTTATTTTTAACCTGATCTGGAAAAGTTTGTATATCTCGTTTTCATAGCTTATGAACAGCTCGAAACAGTGGCAGAACAAGCATTTCTTTGCCCCTGGGCCCCTTTTCTCAGAAAAAAAGACCAGTCCAGCCTCCCCCCCCCCAGGCATTGCCCCGTCTGCCCCGCGCAGACCATTTTACCATTAAAATAGAACATAGAAGCTTGTTTCTATAATCTTTATTTTTTTATAACAACCATTGCCATAACATGTTGTAAAACAAGCATCTTTTCCAGTAAGTTTTCTGTTAAGTTTAATCTTTAAGGACATGTTTTTGTGACACTAAATGAATTTCGACTGTGAAACATTTTCATCTTTTCCGAAATAAGGGGTGAAACAGGAAAAAAAAAGGAAACTAAATGAATTTCAACTGTGAAACATTTTCTTCTTTTCCAGTAAGTTTTCTGTTAAGTTTAATCTTTAAGGAAAGGTTTTTGTGACACTAAATGAATTACGACTGTGAAACATTTTCATCTTTTCCGAAAGAAGGGGTGAAACAGGAAAAAAATGTTAGATCTTTGTTCTCAAGTTTTCAATACTTATAGAAAAGGATTTGAGGCCGGAGTGTTCGAGAACAGACACAAATACAAACGAAGGAGAATGTACGATTGATCCACAGCTCAAGCAGAACATTACATGTATATATATTTATATATATGTATTTTGCATTTTTAACATCAGTGTTATACACGTTAAACTCGACAATGCAAGGCTGCTATTCTCCAGCGACATGACAACGTGGGAGCTTAAGATGGCTCTCGGCAAATGTCTAAATGCTAGGCACCTTCTTCTTACAGACCTTCTACACTTTTTTATCCCTTATATTTCTGTTCATGAAGATAAAGCATTTAGTTGTCAGAACAAAGGTATAATTCTGAACACTGTGGCGTTCTTTATTCAATCTTCAAGCTTTTATAAAGATTTACTGAGCATCATTTTTTCCCATCTTTACATTGACATTTAATAATTTATCAAGTTTTCTGCTTTTCCTTTGAACTAAACAAATCATCAGGTAGAACTTACTTCTTATGTTATTACTTCTTATTAGAAGCTTCTGTCAAAAAATTGAAGAATTTCGATTTTTCGTGTTTTTATAGTTTTTTTTTTTCAAATTTGGAGGTAATTTATCCCAACGTTAAGTTTACTTTCGAAAATAAAGTTAATGGGAAGCTTTAAGTTTTAAAAGTTTTAGTTCAAAAAATAAACAGTAGAATTCACACTTCTGTTTGTTTGTTTTTTGTAAGGAAACACACTCAGGAGTTTATCTTCATTGGAATTCCGTTCATCAGGGATCATAATTTTTTTTTATACAGGGAAGTCTATCTGCTCTTCTCAACAGGTTTCTCTCACTGAGAAAAAATGTGTTCAAATCTCAGCTTGTATCCTAAAATATGTATTCTTACACTTTGCTAAATAAAACCTTAGCGTCCCTACAAACTGAATTACAGGTCGAAATGAAAAACATTAGGAATTTAATAATATAGTTTAAAAAAAAAACGAACACCAAAAACAACAACAATAAAATTTGGAATTCGGAAAACTCGCCTCTTTATCCAGCAAAACTTTTAACATTACACGTTTTTTTGAATGATTAGATTAACATGTCTACACTTTTGTATATGCATTTTGCTGTGACGATTTTAGTTTATATACATATATAGTAACCATGAAACTCTACAAGATTAGCCCAATGAATACGATTGTAACTCATTTAAAAAAATGGAGAAAATTCTATATGGATATTTGAAAAAATTATTTAAATATTTATATTTACATTTATTTTAACCTTTGAATATACAATATTAAATTCCTCAATGACTCAGTGGCAAAGTGGGTGGGCAGAGCACAGATAGCCCTTTGTGTAGCTTTGTGCTTAACTTCAAACAAACAAACAAACAAATAAATATTTATGATAACGCACAGGCGATACACAAACATAGTAGTTCACACTCAATGCGTAATTGCACTCAAATGACTAATTTATCATTAATACAATCAGTTCGTGCTCAAGTGTATCATACTATTCTGAAAATAACATTCACACATTTACTTACGTTGTCATTGGCAATATCTGTATTGGATTGTCGCTTACCAAGTAAAGAAAATACCAGGAATTACTTTTAACTAGGGATGCACGAGTACCCGGCCAGATATTCGAAGTTAGGCATCTTAGCCCTAATCTTTGTGACAACTAACGCGGTACTGAAAGTTACAGTCAATAATTGGGTAAAGTTAAAAAAAAAGTCGTAGATTTAGAGAACAATAGGGGTTAATAACAGGCATGGCTTGAGAAGTGAATTTCAGGAGAAGGTGGGGGTTTTTGAGAACAATAGGGGTTAGGGTTTGAGAAGTTGGGGCTAGGCATTGAAAGTTGAAAGTAAAACTTGAATGTTCTGTTGGTGATTAGTCGGTTAAATGTAATAAACGTTAATTTTGCTTTTGTTTCTAATTTTTGTGTATATTGTTTTTTTTGGGGGGGGGGGAGGAGAACTCGGTCCCGGCCGAAGCTTAGTGACCAGGTACCAGGACCCGGCATTCGGTCAAATTTTACTACCCGTGCATCCCTACTTTTAACATCAATGTTTTTTTAGAGTTAGTCCTTTCTAATTGGACCGCGTCTAGTATTAGCACTACTATTTCAAGTTCCTAACGAAACATAATATTTCGCTCCAATCTGTCACATGCAATAGCTTGCACCACACATTTTTTTATCCACACGAGTCATTTCAGTCTTGACGTCAATGAGTGCTTTTTTAACACTACTGTTGAGAAAATTATGACTGCTTGTTGTTCTTTTTGTTATAGGCATTATGCTGGAGTAGCACTGTGCAATTTGTTTGATGGCAATCAATCATATTACAAACTATCAACGTGTGAATGTAGTCTGCTGCATTTCAATTCCATATAAAATAAGGGGAGAAATCCATAATATTTAACTTTTTATACACATCTCATTCATAATTTCCATAGTTACTTCCAATGATGTATATTTATCTAAATTGTACGAACATTTATATATATATGTTAAATTGGTAAGTTTGTTTGTTTTAGAAGTTTGCGCGTAACAGTTTCTAATTTTGAATTGATAAACTACATGTAGATTAATAGTCATCAGTGCCCACTGTCAACTTTTGTCTAACAGAATAGGGCAAACACAGTCCCAAAGCACGAAGAGCATTTTTGCAACAATGAGACACGAATCATGAATCCTCAGATTCACAGTCCGAGCAATGCTAGTCGTAGGTTACGCCCGTCCTGATTATTATGAATCAAACAATCGTGACAGCGTAATAGCTCTCAAGAAAAAAAAACCTCGTGTGTTAGCAGTCTTTTCGATTTCATAAGGTGAAATAATTTTTCAATCTCTTCACTTTACAGTTCTGTGACATACGTAGTATGTTCATATATTCGCATAATTTCTAATGGTTTTCAGCAGCGGCATAGCGGCTCATAGAACGGCTGATTTTTTTTCTTCTTAAATAAAAACTTTTAGCTCGTAGCTCCATTATCTCTTGACCAATTTAAGATCTAATTACAGTTTTGGACTCGGGAGGTTAAACCCTTTCTACTAGTGTATTTTACCACGCCCAAGGTCTCATAGATTAATTTACTCTAATCCTGTTTAAAAGAATTTCAATTTGAGGGTAGGCCGTTAGAGTATACGGGTATACGCGGGCCCCACGCTTTGTATTGCCGGCGCACAAAAATATAGCCAATAAAAATAAAAACAAATAAAAGGTCTCATAGATTAATTTACTCTAATCCTATCTAAAAGAATTTCAAGCGCCGCGGCTATTGAGGATTCCCCCTTGTTTTAATATAGAATCCCTCTGCAACAACATTATCTAAAATTGTAGAATTAAGAAAGTTATATATAATATTGATAATGTAATTTCAACTAATTGAAATTGTAGTAAGGGTCTGTAGTGACATTCGTGGGATAAGAACAAGAATACCCACCTCCTTTTGAAAGGTTTTCGAAACATATCTGTCATCTTTGGCTGTAATAAAAAACAACAGTAAACAGTAGTTAATGCTGTAAATATCAAAAAATACTTCTCTAGTTTTGAGACTTATTTTTTTTTCTGCTTAAGTGTAAAAATACTAGTAATCGTTTTAGACTATAACACATATAAGCTAGATTTTTGCTTTTACATACACTCAAAAGAAAGTTCTAACATCTGACAAAGAAACAAAAACTTCTAAATCACTTATACATAAATTTTAATTATGTTACTTGAAGAACACGAGGCAGTGAAATATATTTAAAGTGACAATATCTTGATTCTTTGCTTCCCCCAGTATTTTAAGGTTATTTACCACTACAGAGCTTTGTTCAGACGTGTTAGAACAGGATTTTTTATATATATTTTTATTATTAGAATAACGTTGTCTACACTATGTGTTTTTTTGTATCTGTTATTAAAATACGTATTTACTGGAAACTTATTTGCTTGTTTGTTACACTTAGATCTTATCTTCCATAGAGCATTAGAGGCATTTACTGACAACTATTTTGATTCAAGTTGACTGTAATGTGGTATACTTTAAATATGGTTGTAGAGATTGTTGTAGTAACATTAGATCTTCTCCGGACTACACCTGTCAAAAGTTAAAAGATGGCCAACTTTGCGGTCTCTATGGTATGCTTTTCACTAGACCAAAGCAACGAACTATTCCAAATCTCTGTATGGTATAAAAAGTCCTTAGAAGATTCACCTGCATTACTGAAGTTGTTGTAAAAAAACAACAGATTAGTTAGAAAAATATCTGCAACAGCAATGAAATAAAAAGTTAAATGCATGAATAATCTTTCCAGAAAATTATTATATATACCTTAGTAACAGCTTGTTACACTTTCCATAAAATTATTATACATACCTTAGTAACAGCTTGTTACACTTTCCATTAAATTATTATACATACCTTAGTAACAGCTTGTTACACTTTCCATTAAATTATTATATATACCTTAGTAACAGCTTGTTACACTTTCCATAAAATTATTATACATACCTTACTCACAGCTTGTTACACTTTCCATAAAATTATTATACATACCTTAGTAACAACTTGTTACACTTTCCATAAAATTATTATACATACCTTAGTAACAGCTTGTTACACTTTCCATAAAATTATTATACATACCTCAGTAACAGCTTGTTACACTTTCCATAAAATTATTATACATACCTTAGTAACAGCTTGTTACACTTTCCATTAAATTATTATACATACCTTAGTAACAGCTTGTTACACTTTCCATAAAATTATTATACATACCTTAGTAACAGCTTGTTACACTTTCCATAAAAGTATTATACATACCTTAGTAACAGCTTGTTACACTTTCCATAAAATGATTATACATAATTAGTAACTGTTTGTTACACTTACAAACATTGTTGTTAATTCTATTGTTTTATTTATCTTACGAATAGATATAGAATAGTAAGACACCTTTTTCACCACCGGTTTTTCAGCCTGTGGCTGAGCAGCAGTTATATTCGAGAACGGAACATCCACGTTAAACTTGATAGAGTGTATCAGTTGAAGTACCACATTAGATACATTCTTAAAGGACAACTTCCTTTTGCCTCCTGGTCCCCTTAGGTGGCGCACTTGTAACGTTTTGAGTAGAAACATCTGAAAAACAAACGAAATACGTGAAAAGAACTCAAAAGTTTGTGGTCCTCTCATTAAACAAGGATTTAAATTCAATTCTGACTTAATGTTGTTTCATATATTGTAGATATTATTAACAAAATAATTATGAATTGATATTTATTCAGAAATATAGAAAAAAAACATTTATTCGCATTGCACTAGACAGGAAATTTTAAACAGTGGTAAATATAATAATTTTTCCTTGCAAACGATAATTACGAGTATGATTATAAATACTGATGGTTACTTTGTTTAACATTAGATCACACTAAGACTGATAGTGTTGGTTACAACGTCTCTTGTTACTGGCCCTATATTACTGGTTTCGCAGAAGTTTGTTTGTTTTCGTATTACGCGCAAAGCTACACGAGGGCTATCTGCGCTAGCCGTCCCTAATTCAGAGCTAGTTGTCACCACTCACCGCCAACTCTTGGGCTACTCTTTTACCAACGAATAGTGGGATTGACCGTAAAATTATAACGCCCCCACGGCTGAAAGGGCGAGCATGTTTGGTGAGACGGGGGTTTCGCAGAGGAAGAACAAAGTGGCATCTCGACGAGGCAGTGGCATGCGGTCGAGATGCTAATAGTACAGGCTTAGTTAGTAGTTCTTGACAGAGTCAGCTTGCATCTGGGAGAAACACGGAGAGACAGAAAAGTAAGCCAATAAAGGTAAAAACTATTGTAAATCTACTTTCGAAAACATTACCGCCTTATTTAGTATTTCCATTCACTAATAGTGGTCCTGTAAATCTAATATAGCTTCAGATTTCTTGTAGGTGTACAGATATTTTTTTCCTCGTTTTGAATATAAAAACATTATCTTAGTTAACCTAGGACTTCGCTGAGAATCTTATTAATGGTCTGATAAGGTTACCTTAAGTTAATTCTTGCATAGCAGAGACGTCACTAGATATTTAAAAAGATTCTGGTTTGTTTGTTTTTTTTTAATTTCGCGCAAAGCTATACGAGGGCTATCTGAACTAGCCGTCCCTAATTTAGCAGTGTAAGACTAGAGGGAAGGCAGCTAGTTATTACCACAACCGCCAACTCTTGGGCTACTCTTTTACCAACGAATAGTGGGATTGACCGTCACATTATAACGTCCCCACGGCTGAAAGGGCGAGCATGTTTGGTGGGACGGAGATTTGAATCCGCGACCCTCAGATTGCGATTCGAGTGCCCTAACCACCTGGCCATGCCGGGCCAAAGATTCTGGACTCGGGCCTATAGACGCGGGAATTTTCGGCATTTCAGTATGATAACGATGATGGTTTTCTATTCTGATTCTCGGGGGTAGTGTCAAGTAGCATCGGGGCACAGGCCTCGTGTGCCCAGTGCCTAGCGACGCTTCTGCTTCATGGGATGAGAAACAAGTATGCACAATAATCACAGCTTGCCTTTCTTCGTGAAGGAGGTGGGATGATAAAGTAGGTTTGGATATTTTGCTCCCTTAAGTAGGAGTTCCGGCTGCCTCCATAACCTGGCACTACTTCGTATTCACTTCGTAGAAAATCCAGTGTGGCTTGGGTGATGTGAACCCGCCTGTGAACGAGAAAATGTGAGAGAAATCCTTGTAACATTTTGATATCTCGAATAAACATGGTTTTAAGTTCTAGAAAATTCAGCTTCACCTCTTTCATCTTAAACATGATACTCAAACGTTGAACGCTTTGAAGTATGAATTAGTATAAAATCATACAAATTTAAAAAATGTGCTTTATTTATTTTTTTCACACTAAAAGTAAAATCATACAAATTTAAAAAATGTGCTTTATTTATTTTTTTCACACTAAAAGTCTTATATGATATGCTTTCCTTTTCAAAAATATGCTTAATCATTCAGACGTTATTCTCACGTGATGTTTGAATGGTCAAACTGGTCTTCACACAAAGTTTCACTCCATTGTTTTCACTGATTTTCTGAACGCAGACGCCTAAACAGCAAAGGTTATGTTTGGAACAGTCCGTATTATTCAAAACTTGAGAGACATATTATTTCGATATGCAGTCTCTTGTGTTACAATAGATTCGACGTATTTCAAATAAGATAGGTTTAGACTTTATTAAGCGGATGTTTGTAAGTTATTGTCCAAACTGAGTGGTTTAACCGAGAATATGTTTGAATAACAGTTTTTTTCCAAATATTAATGTCTGGTTGTGATTTTATTCTTATGTACTATCGTCTCCACACAGACATTGTACATTTTATTTGTCTATCCATCTATCAGAATCTGAAAATTTAAATTAAATATATTTTTCATCTCTTTTTCTTTTTAATTTTAGAAATCATTGAAACAAAATTCTAAAAGTTACCATTTGTTTTGTAAGAATTTCATTGTTTATAACTTGATATTTCATTAATCTAAATATTTAGAACAGATTATTATTGAATACTTATGTAAACATAAAAACCTTTTATATGAATAATTATTTTATTAATATGTATTTCAAGAATTACTTTGAATTGTGGAACTTATGGATTCTTAACGAAGAAAAAAATCTCAAAGCAGTTGTGAAAAATTGTGAGATATTTTACCTTTATTTTTAATTCCCATCGTTTTCCTTATCCAATGCTGAAAAAGTTACCTCGTTTTGTGAATCAAACTCAAAGTACTTCTTATCAAGAAGTATCAACCTACTAACTGTTATCAAAATAGGATATAAAAAATGGGGAAACGAATAAACTTTTATCATTTGAATATAATTAATATGGATAAAACCGATCGCTTCTTGAGCTACGTAAGGCTCTGTAAACATATAAACTCGTACAACAGATAAAGCTGAAAACTGATTGAGCAAATACGAATATTACAGTCTTCAGGTTGACGAATAACAAAACTAGAATAAACCAAAAGCCTACCCAGGTTCTCCCCCAGCCTCCATGTTATTAGCTAATGTAACATCATTACTCCATACATCATACTGCCATTTTCTCAAGCCTAAGACACCACAGAGTACTCGACCAGTATGGATTCCAACGCGCATGTTCAATTGAACGTCCGTAGTCTCCACTACTGATCTGTTATAATGGGAAAATAGAAAATAGAACACTGAGTTTTCGAGTAAAAAATAAAGAGCGTAATTACTGGATTACTAAAGTATCATTAAAGTATATTTTTTTTTTGCTAAAATTCTTAACAACTTGAAATGACATCTTAGGGTTAGATAATACATAGAGTATATCAGCCAATAAAAGTTCACAAATCGTATTAAAAACATTATCAAATTGTGGACTTTCTGGTTTATGTTTTAATATTTTGAGTTTTTTGTAGCCGAACATTTCCGAGTCTTCGAAATCTTAGAAATACAAACATGTGTTTTTTCATTTAATACGTATATATATATATATACATGTATAGCATCAGTTTTCTTTTAAAATAATACAATTGAAACTGATATAATTTTAAATCAGAGAAACCTAGACGGAATTGGAATTCTCGATTGGAACGGCATCTTATACGCGGGTGCTGCTCGATGGTTACTTCCCTCTAGTCATTGGTTCAAAATTAGAGACGTTTTGCGCAGACAGCCACTGTGTAGCTTTGCGTCAAATCCTGAAACAAACAAGCTATAATACTTCACTTAGATGGAAACTAAGTATAAAAACTTTGGCCTTATCCTTCGAAGTATGTCAGAAAACAGAAAACAACAACAACAACAACCCACAATTTGGTCTATTTGACTTAGACATACAAGCTAATTTGAAATATACTACTTTAGACTTGTGAAACACTAATACCCAAAGACGGACTAAAACCAAATTACAGTAATCCCATGTTAGAGAAATTAATCGATTTGAGACTTTGTCTAAACTCATTCAGGTGGAGTTTTGTTTGTTTCTTGTTGAATTTCACCAAAGCTACTCGAGAGCTATTTGCATTAGCCGTCTCTAATTGTAAAGGGATAGACTAAAGGGAAAGCAGCTAGCTAGTCAACACCGCCTGCCGCCAACTATTGAGCTACTCTTTACCAACGAATAGTAGAATTGACCGACACGATATAACGCCCCCATAGCTGAAAGGGCGAGCATGCTCTGTGGCGAGTATCGATCGAGCTCCCACCATCCGGCTATGCTAGGCTGTTTCAGGAGGAAAAGCTACACCTGAATAGCACTGTTATTCTTACACAGATCCTGACATAGCTGTTGTAATTGTTTAATAAAAATAGCTTACATTTTGTTTCCAGATTCTCAAGCACAAAGACACACAATGGTCTATTTGTGCTGTACCCACCATGGGTATCAACACTTGATTTTTATTATTATAGTATTCATACCTACCTCTGAGCCACCGGTGCTTTTTGCTGATTAAATTTAGCTATTTTATTTATTAACTAATTTTCTTAGTTTTTCAGGGACTAATTCCATCAACTTAGCAGCGAGTGTAAAAAAGCAAAGCTGTCAAACAATTACACGAAATATCTTAAATAGTTTATCAGTCTGAAAGCATCTTTCTGTCTCCATTATCCTCAATTACTTCTATATCTACCCCAACTGGAATCTGTACACGAAATCAAACCCAGTGGTACCCGACGTGACCACGTTTGGTCCCACTTGCTGGAAGTGGGGGTACGAACATAGTTTCACACATGGCGTCCATAGGATCCCGAGGAGTGGGAGGAGGTAAAATAAAATTCAGTTTTAGATTCGGGTTCAAGTGACTCTGAAAATTTATACTCTATCATACCATTCTGGTTGAGGGCTAACTCCAAAACTGTGCGAGGAGGTCGCGGACAAACAACAAAATTTCACATTCACAAAACAGATCGTGGGAGAAAAGATACCTTTATATTGTCTTCACAACACACGCACAGATTTTTTTATCATTCTGTACGTTAAGAATATTAATTCTCATGAGATCAGCTTCGGGACAGGTGAAACAAAGAAACTGTACTCAATTACTTATATGATAGACACCTACATTTGTGGAACTAATACACTTATGAAATTATTTGAGATATAAAAGTTTTAATAAACTTGAAATTCCCATTCTCATTTTGGGTATTTTTTTTTTAGATGTTTGGGGTATAAATTTTGTGGCTAATCCAAGGCTAGCTTCAAAATAATTTTATGACATCATTACTGGGTAACTTACAAGAAATAAAAAAATGGCATTTAGTAATATAACTTTTTACACATCATTTAACTATCATATCATAAATAAAAGAATGTTTACTTTTTTCAGAAATTACATTCACAAAGGCTTTACAGAGTTTATAAAGTGTGAAAACTTGCTGTGAATATAATATTGGTAGACGTAATCAATACCTTTTGTTGTGAACTACGAAAGCATATAAAATTTTTGCTTCTAAGTTACGCGTTCCGTAATTTCTCAGCGGTAAGCTTCAGGGGGTTAAATCCCCACGACCAATGGGCAAAAACAAGACAAAAAAATAAAACAAAACAGAAACCGTAAACCTAAACTACAAATAACTGATAATGGTGTGAACAGAACATAATTTTGGTTTATGTGTATTCTTAGCACTTACATCGTTTGTTAACCTCTACTGGTAAAATGGATGTTGTTAGTTACCTATAGGCTTAACAAAGAAATCAATTAGGCTTAATAGAGAAATGGCTATAACGTTGTTACATACCAATAGGCTTAAGAAATAAATGGCGATATCGTCGTAAGTTGTCATTAGGCTTAATAAAGAAATATCGATAAATGAATTAACCAGTTCAACGCCATATGAAACAATTTATTAATCTAAATTGGCCATTCTTCTGGATAATTTAAACTTTTCAGAAAGAGATACCTTCCCTGTGCATTTTCGCTGTCTCCAGAGTGTGACTAAGCGCGCGCTCTTTTTAAATTTATTTCTCTAGTAATTTAGAAATACATATCCGTTGGCGAGCATTTGGAACAGGAACTTATTTATCGTTTGACAACAACAAACGAAGGAGCAATCCTATTAACACAAACAAAAAAGTAGACGACATTTCTGAGCGGCTTCCTTTAACAATCCATTTCACTTTTTTAGTTTGTTTAACAGCTTTCACATAAATCACAGCTGTAAGGGCCGCATAAACAAGCCAAAAACTTTAGTTAAAGCTGCCTCTTACGTTTCTCAAAACACTTAGTTGGACTATTGCTCTAAGGCGTCCTCTTGGGCAATATCTTTATTTAATAACAACCCATTGAAAACACTGTTTTTAAGAGATGGTGATAAATTAATTCTTAAATGTAATATTCGAGTTTCAGTTCCCACTGGAGAATTAATGACCAGTTTTAAATTTTAGTAATCACACAATTCAAGCAAAGTAGTATTCTTGATAGAATTCACATTCACATTTTGGGTAAATATTTGTTAAATGTTTGAGGTATAAATTTCGTGGCTAGTCCAAAGTAAGCTCAAAATAATTTTACGACGTCATCGCTGAGTAATTCAGTTCTAAATTTTGATAATTCCTGGTAATATATATTTATAAAAACACAAATACGAGCAAACACAGTTTAAAATAATTTAAGAGTTTGTTTTCAGCACGCTTTGCAAAACCAGAGATATTCGTCCCGAATTATTTCCAAATTAAACATTTATTTTAGTTTATATAACTTAATTATAAAATCTTAAGGCTTAAATGCGATCCATAACAGTACATCAGAAAGAAAATAATGGGTTGTCACGAAAGAAAACTTGGCTAGCTGAGTAATTTGAAAAGTATTTCTATAATTACGAACAACGGAACGTTTTTTATGCTGAAAATTACGTTGTTTGTTTGTTTGTTTTTTCAGTAGATTACAGCATTATCTAGTGTACACAGGGTTGGGCGTGGCTTAGTTGGTTTCATTCAAAGCTGCTGATCAAAAGATCCGGGGCTCAAGCCGCGATCTGCTGCTCAGCATACTCTGCAATTTCAGCTAAGGGGTGTTATAAACGTGACAGTTAGTTTCAATATTCAGTTAAGAGTAACTTTACATGCGACGGTACTGATGATTGATTTCCTTCCCTCAATTTAGTAGAATAAACGCCCAGATGGAATGAGACTGCTAGAACACAAAGGATCGTTGGGGTAACCAAGAGAAATCAATAGGAAAGTTTTTGTTTTTTGTACATTTTGCACAAAGCTACACGAGGGCTGTCTGCGCTAGCCGTCCCTAATTTAGCAGTGAAAGACTAGAGGGAAGGCAGCTAGTCATCACCAACTCTTGAGCTACTCTTTTACCAACGAATAGTGAGATTGATTGTTACATTATAACGCCCCCACGGCTGAAAGGGCGAGCATGTTTGGTGGGACGGGGATTCGAAACCCACGACCTATAGGTTGCGAGTAGAGCACCTTAATCACCAAGCCATGTCACGCCTATTGATCGACAAAACTCGTGAGATTTGCCAGTCGGTTTGTCAAGATCAAAATCGATTTATTATTATTCTTTTAAGTGCTGATTTTAAGTGGTTTAACAATAGCATGCTTTTAAAAGTGGCACATCGTCCCTTGGAGCTAGAAGTATCTAGAACAGTAAACATTTCTATAATTGAAAATAAGAAACTTTACTGACGAAACCATGGTCGTTAATAAATGAAGTTTTTATGAAACGTACAATTGCCTTTTTTCCTCAATTCTAAGATAATCTGTTTTTATTATGGAATACTTTGCACAAAAACAAAGATTAGGAATTATGACATATTATCTTACTTTATATTATTGTAGAATACGAGGCTTGGAATACTGTTCTAATCTACTGCATCGTAAATTAACTGGTTCAACCATTGAATCTCATACATGAGTGCATCAAGAATTAAAACATTAAGCCGTCAGATGGCACTACATACGCTATAGCGTCGATCATGTCTAGTCCCATCTCCACGCAACACTGAGCATGATCTGACCTGGGCTCGGGAAGTCCACTAACGCAGTAATAGCAATCTCCAAGAAGTTTGATCCTTAGGCAGTGGTTGTCCTGTAAAGTGATGAAGATAATATTGTTATACTATAACATAGTTGATATCACCCGAGATCATTAATCGATGCTCAGTTTTCTAATATATTATCAAAGTTAAACATTTACTTCTAGAGAACGTAAAAAAATAAAATGAAATGAAAAATGATGCAATTTACCTACTTTTTATATTTTCGAATGTCAGAGTTACGCCGTTTATATCAGACAGTTAGAAACAAGTGCGATGTGAATCTAAGCTTTAAAATTTCTTACAATACTATAATACTGTAAGTAAATAAAAAAAACTTCTCACAATACTATAAAACTGTAAGTAAATAAAAAACTTCTCACAATACTATAATACTGTAAGTAAATAAAAAACTTCTCACAATACTATAAT